GTTGAAGAAGTCGCAAGAGACTGGTAAAATACACGAAATCAACGCGGGTTATAATAATGTATGATATTTTATGAAATAATGTTGAATTGTTTTTGTTATACTATGGTCCCTATTAAATTAATTGAATATTATTAAACATAGTTTGTGCATTTTGTGTGTGTATGTATGAAGATTTCAGTGTAAGTACACTGAACGAATCAAAGTCGTTGATCTATAACTCGTTGAACGTTGAATAAACTCGACATCTTCAAAGTCGGGAGAAGGGGATTGTTTTCTTATCTCCGTATTATTTTAATAATTTCATTATTTTTATTTTATGAACTAGATTTAATAAAAATATTGAATTTTATATGTTCTAAACTATTATTTGCACATTTCGACACAAAAAAGTTGAACAAAAAGTACATTTTTAGAATCGCTTATTCTGTCATAGTTTAAAGGCGCATTCAAATTTTGGTTCATTCGAATTGAATGTACGAAATGTAATTACCGCTAAGGTCACATGGAAACATAGCCCGGCAAATTTTTCCGACGTCATGGTATGAATAAGCGATGTATCTCACTTGTAGGTTGTCAATAGGCTCGCATGCTCATGGTATCCATGAACTGCGTCCAGTGAGATAGTCCATAGTAACTACAACATAATTACAATAATTTGATTAAAGATAGGATATAAGGACCATCTTAGCACATTTAGGATCTTGCAAGTGTACTTATATAATGAGTGATGTAATCCATTACTTACACGAACGCATTGTTTATTGAATAAAGTATTCACGTACTTTCACAACTTAGAACAGTAAATCATAATATTATTATGATATTCCATTAACTTAGTAAGTCTTAATTCCCTAAATTAATTAAGTCGACTTAACATGTTTTTTTTGTTTTAGTACCTTCCTATCCCACATCTCTAATTGTGAGTATTGCATTGGCTCGGGATGGTTTTTGCACACCTTTACAATAGATGTTTTCGTCTATTAGTTACGTATATTTCTATTCACTACAATAGGTATGACCGTTTGGTGTCGTGTGTCACACGTTTGCTGATAAAGACTGCATAATTCAGTGTCGGGTTGCGTTGCATCGCGGCCTTGAGCAAACTTGAAGTTAAATTTTCACTAGAATAAGTTAATTAAATTTATTTTTGTATATATTGACTTCATTACAATATTTTACTACCACGCTAACCGTAACTTTTTGTTGTACTAGTGGCTTAATCATCAGTGAGAACTTCAATCATTGTTACATAAATCAGTGGCGCTAGAACTCCTTTAGGTCTGGGCCTCAGATGACTGAATCTGTTTCATGATTATTTTTTTCAATCTATTAGGTAGTAGGTGATCAGCTTCCAGTGCCTGACACTCGCCGTCGACTTTTTGGGTAAGACATGTCGGATTCCTCATAATGTTTTCCTTCACCGCTCGAGCGAATGTTAAATGCGCACATAGAATGAAAGTCCATTGGTACACAGCCGGGGATCGAACCTACGACCTCATAGATGAGAGTCGCACGCTGAAGCCACTAGGCCAACACTGCTCAATATTCGAGAATTATTTTCGAGAATAATCTACGATATATTTCATGAAACAGTTTAATGTCCAGGCAAGTAAGGGACACTAAATGTTATCGGCTAATAAAAAAGTTTTTGACTACTCATTTAAACCCAGAAACTTATTAAAATTATTTCAGTGTTACAGTATCTATGTATGTATATAATGGGTTTATTATCGACTTCCATTAAATTTCCATTACAGACTTGTATGTGTATTTATAAAACCAAATATATCCAATGAAACACATTTTAGTCAATCATACATATGTATTTAATATAAGATACAGTACTTGTGACGTGGACAAACCATCAAAAAACTTAGAATCGCTACAATGAACAAATTTTCACTTATTTTCGAGTAAATTAATTCACTATTATTATGCCCAAATGTGTGATAAATTAATTGAGGTAGATGGCCCATTTGCGGGCAAATTATAATTAAATTTCGGATTCACACAATCACGGCTCCAAGCAAATAAAACGCATTAAACATTATACTATATATAATTAAATATCTACAAATTGAATAAAGTAGTGCACACTATTCGGAACTCTCGGTCCTCATATAGCATTTATGGATCAAACATTTACAATAAAGGAGAACATTCATATAATAAACGGATAATATAGGAAACATGTTGAAAGACAACGCGTACACTACCATCTAGCCTAACCCGTCTCCAGCGGCCGTCCCGGGCACTTTTGGCGCACGAGTAGGTTTAACCCGGTCGTATTAAGCCCCCGAGCAGGCAAAACCCGGGCAGGCTAAGACAGACCGGGTAGTCTCAAACCGACATCTCCCCCACCTCGAGACAACCGCTGCTCTCGCCAAGGCGCGAAGCAAATTACTTCTGCATTATACTTAATAATAAATACATATATTTACATTTGTAAAGCGTGACCAAAAATTAATAATTATAATTTCTCTACCATTTTCAACTATAACCACACGTCTCTGGTCAAGACTTACGAGATGCCGCGCGGCAGTAATGTGTTTCACGCCTCTACAACCTTAAAGGCAACAAACCAACGAAATGCGTCACAGAACAATAGGAAAAAAATCTCCGCGACTACACTTGTTCCCTTACGCCAAATAAATGAACGAAACCTTACCGAGTGAGCAATTTCAAGGCACGCGCCTTGTTATCCGGGAAATTAACCCGGTTCGCTCGTATTAAGACTATTGTGGCAGTGATAAAAAATATATCTATAACGCAAACGCGCTCGAAATATGTTTTTTGTTCTAATTTAGTACCCCACTACAATTACTGATCACAAAATATTTCTCTCTTTCTAACGACTCGAAGAGCTACTATTAGGGGCTTATATCGAAAATACCTCCAAATTCCATCGACTCTAAATATTATTGCAAAAAAAATTTGTACTCAAGCTTTAATAGGCCACTTCTTTCAGCCGTAATAATTTTACATTGAGCGATTTTGAAAAACGTCATCGAACTAAGAATCCGAGATGAAGAAATACATTTTTGTTCGTCAGCGAATACCGATGCTTTTATCAAAATTCAAATAAAAGATGTTAATAATTTTGAGCAACATTTGAAAAAAAGCTTCGAGTCTTCGCCGTTTTAAACATTTCAAAATTCTGTTCGTGTCATTTGTCAATTTTATCATCTTTATGATAGATAGATATAGTATATTCCAAGTTATTTTCAACGTCTTCAGACGGGTAAATTTGATGACGTTTTCCTACATTACATAAAAATTCCAATGAGATCAAATTAAGTCCATGGAAATGTCTTTCTGAATTTGGTGTCGCAATTGACTATAAAATTAATAAAGCAAAGCCAATATGGCACTATGATCAGTGCTGAATTATTCTAGAAATTTAAAACAAACCTAAAATCAGTACTTTGGAAGGATTCCCAGAAATTTTGCGATCGTCCAGGCACCAACATGACTACTAAGAATTTTCCTAACATCTCTTTGGGTCCACCCATACTAGCGACGCGTTAGCCATCATAAGCAGTTCTAAACGCATCATACAATTTCCTACATTGACTTATATCGCGGCCCTAATACCCTAAATTCAGGGCGTGGCTCGATTTTCAAAAATAGAATCCCTGTTTTAATTCTTTGAATTTAGAGTACTTCGGGCCCAACCATTAGCTATCCCTTGAACCGGTCCAAGTCACCGCACATTTCCTAACTTAACTACCGACGCTTACTAAAATACGGAGATCGTGAGAACGGAACACAATAACCCTTACTGCTAGAAAGGCAATTTCACAGAAAATCCTCTACAATGGCTGTTTTTAAACGTCAATTCCGTTACTGATGTTAGCAATGCATGGATTTTGTACAGATCAGAAGAAAGATATTTTAGAATTATCCATAATTCAATTGTGAATTGAAAAAGCTTAAAAAGTCAAATAATAGTTTTAAGAGTGACATTCCATATTCGACCATTCCTCACATCAGTACCAGAACGAACCCACACTGACACACCTCGGTACAAAAGTACAAAAAACAACCATACAATTTCAGTTAAACTATAGCCATATAAATGTCTGTTATAAAAATAAAAAACACCAATAATTACATGATAAGGTCGAGTATCGGGCCGTATGTTAATTTAAATCTGCTAAAAATCTTGTGCGTGAAAAATCATCTAAAGCTATCACACAGTTATTGCTATATTCACTTGCGTCGTTAGAAAATCGATATTGACACATTAACATAGTAAATCAATTTTATTGCTCGAATCCAATATTCGTTTCCAACGACGCGATATCGTAATAAACTCTCGTGGCAGTGACGTTACAAGACAGCTGTTGATTCAGAGTCCATCTCTTCGATCGATACCTAAATTCGATTATAAAGAATCGATTAAACTTAACACCGAATCGACTACGCGGTTATATCTATGTGAACACTTGTATGTAGAACCGTGCTATTCGAGGCACTTGGTGACGATAACAATAGTCACGATATCGATAAAATAATTGGCACCGTTAAGCGAAAGCGGTCGAGACGCGGTCCAACGGAATTATCGATAAATGCGACCGCGCGCGGTCATCACTATAACTACTACTATTATATACAACATTGGCAGTGATTCGTATCGCTGGTCGTTTTTCGGACGACTCTTAACCTAGCTCAGACTACGGCGTCTGCTAACCTAACCTATACAATCGCGTCTACAATTTACATTTCCTAATTATTTACAATTTGTTCGCTATCGTCGCGTCACTCGAAGTCCGAGTCTTATAAAAATGATCAGTCTTGTGAGTAATCTGCGCACGCGCCGCTTGCGATCAAGCGGCCGCCGCCGAAGAATCAACCTCTGTCTAGATTGTTATTCGACGTTCTAGAAAATTCTCTAAAATACTACTATCAGGTTGGTGACATATTTTAAGCTGAATAATTAAATTCTCCTTCTGAAGGACGTTCTTCTCGATACATCATCAACCTTCGTCATATGTATTCTACCGTCCGCTGGGCCAAAAGGCGTTTCCGCCCTGTCTTCTGCCGAGCTTCCTCTTCTTGGCGCCGCTGACTTCGCACTTTGGGCTGTCGTCCTCCGCGTAGATCATGGGCAGGTTGGTGGCGCTGCACTCATTCTTAGCCTCAGTAGCCTTCTGTTTGGCGAGTAGGTTGTTGAGTAGACGGGAAGACGTGCACTGTCGAAGAGGCAATTGTCTCGTCGGTTGTGGGACGGGCTTCTTAACTGGTGGCGGGGTCGGTGTCTTCTTGTACGAACTACAGAACTGATCATAGAGGATGACTTTAGTGTGGGCCGGCAACTCGGAGATCTCCACTCGTTTGACCCGCTTCACGTCTTGTTCTGGCACCCATTCATCCTCGATCCTGAAATGTTTAATGAAGGTTATTGGGGCACAAAATCGCCACACAGAATGTGACTGCAAACACCACAAACCATTGTTAGAAGAACGATTGGTTTATTTGCAGGTCGAATTCAAACATCGACCGTATGCAAAAGTACTTAGTCGACTCCTTAGAATTTTTTGCCGACTGTCAAAAATATTGCAATTACAGCGTGTTATGTTCTAAATGGCTTGTGTTTGCAGTTCAGGTTGCAAGCCCTATGATGAAAAGAATCATGCATCGCTTAAAGCCTTGATGATAAAATTTGAAGTAATTAACAATACGATGAATGCTGAAGCCGCTAAACACTAAAACTAAACGGGCAGGCAACCCATTGAGTTGCTAGCATCAGCATTGATCGATTAATAGGCCAATGGAGGAGAGTAGGCATTTTTAAGAAATAAATCAAGTGGTCTTTAAACTCAATTCTATGCTAGCAACTTCACAAGATGTTCTGTGTGGCCAGAGTGATGGTAATGGCATGCTGTGCGAGTAGAGGAACTTGTGATTGTATCAATTACAAAGTGACAAGGAGAGTGAGCAGAAAAAGGTATTACAGATATTTAAATCTTTATAAATTTTGTATATTAGAAACGTACAAAGCTAAAAATATTTCTATTATAGGTAATAAATTTTCTCTTGAATATATTTTACTTTATATAAGTATATGTATTACACTGAACTTTTGATTATTTGGCTGTGATATGTACCATACTTTAACTACGCTGATTAATACATTTAATTCCAATAATATTAAGTTGATACAAAACAAGATCCTTTAACTGTTAATAAAGCAATGCTACAGTAATACTTTGAAGAATAAAGTTTTAAAGCCACCGGATTTGCTTACATTGGCTCCTCGTCGGACGGGCGACATCTTCCAATACAAATGAATTGAAAAAAAAAACATTTTACAAACGGGTTACGTACATACGTGAGGTAACGTAATATAAAAAATCAAAATAAATATTTTTCAGATATGTAAGTTACTTTCTTTAATATTATATAAATTATAATCACATCGATGAATAACAGTAAAATAAATTAAAACTTTGCTATAAGAAATTTAAAAAGGAAAGATCTATGGATGATTACTACCGTGCATTAGAAATAGTCAAAAATTTAACATTTAAATTTTCGATAAACGACATTCATAACCCACCTCGGTATTACCTTGTCAATGATTAATAATAAAAATACTCGAAAATACGCTGCAATTTTATAAAATTACTATTAAATTTAACATTTCTAAGTCTCGTATTTTCATTATATCACACAAATTAATACATCCCAAAAAATCTCAATAATTCCAGTAGTATTTGTAATTTAAAAATGAAATTGATAAATTTCTTACCTGAAAATACAGTAAATGTTAATGGAATTATTACAAATATGTTAAGTAGAACAGATTTTTCCTAATTATTATTAAGGCCACCAGTAAGTTAAAGATCTGTCATTAATTTCAGTGTGTCGAGGGTGGAATCATTTTTACAGTCTGTATAAAAATAACAAAATTCAATATGAACTTGTGAGTTCTGTATTTGTCAAGAGACACTGTTCAAATTACATATGGTTTGACGACCCAAGTAATAACAAGCAACAATCGATAAAATGAAAAAGAGATAAAATGTAAGAAAATGCAAGGAAAATTTAAAGGCAAAAAAGAGTGGGTCGTGCTTGATTATAATTCTTCTAGATACGCTTTTGAACCTTCCATGCTCGACACACAGATGTTTGATATATAGACTTTAAAATGCATAATAACTGGTGCCTCTGTACTACTTATCATCTTAACTATCTTAAAGAAATTAAGATTAAGCATAATTAACTGTAAGTATGTATTTTTACATATTTAAATTGGTCCGCTAAAATTATGTTTTTTTCTTATTAAGTAATCATGATTACTTCTGATACACTGTCTGTCTAGCAGACATTCAGAATTCTATAATACACTAACAAAAAATTTCAAATATGTTTTTAAACCACTGGTATAATTTTAACTGTCGCATGGAAATTTAACGACAAAAGACCCGCGATTGCATTAAAGTCCTTTAAGTAACACAAGAGGCAATTCTGTCTCGAGGTCAATTAATAATACTCAACATTTATGTATCTGTTCTTATTCACTTCCAAGTTTCTTCCTATGGAAGATGTTATCATTTCATTCAAAATTCAATCAATGAATTACAATATTCAATGTGGCTGTGACAAAAAAGTAGCGCAATTAATGCCAAAATAGACAATTGAGAAATTTATTTAATATGTAGTACATGAGTAGTAAGTTCCAAAAATTTTGAAAATAACTATATTCCATAAGTTTTGTTTTTACCATTTTAAAAGGTAAGCCTATAGTAGCCTCTATGAATATTGTAATTCGTCCACATGCAACCGTACGACCTAAACAAGAAAATTAACTTACACATTCGGAGGGTAGTATGTCAATAAGGCCTCCCGTCTACCCTCAATAGCATTGTATCGAGTGGCACTAAGTGCGGCGTGAAGAGTGATGGTATGCCTTCCAGGCGGTTCCCGAAGAGGACAAGAACCTCCAAGCCTCCATCTGGTACACCTTAGTAGCCGCCACTGAAGACCCTGCATCATACCCGTGTCGAAGAAGTCGAACATTCGCGCTGAAATCGAAACAAATACAAATTAATTAATAATGTATTACTTACGATTAGGACGAAAAAAGTACATGCGATAAAGACACGTGGATTTCATTAGAGAGCAGTCAACTTCAGTACACAATGAAAATAGAGTGCAAATACTGTTTGGATTCAAAAAGTTGTCTGTCTTAAAAATTCTAGTTAAGGCAATAAATATTGTATTAAATAATTTGTGAGCAGTGTTGACCTAGTGGCTTAAGCGTGCGACTCTCATCCCTGAGGTCGTAGGTTCGATCCCGGCTGTGCACCAATGGACTTTCTTTCTATTTACTCATGTAACATTCGCTCGAACAGTGAAGGAAATCATCGTGAAGAAACCGGCTTGCCTTAGACCCAAAAAGTCGACGGCGTGTATCATGCACAGGAGGCTGATCACCTACTTGCCTATTAGATTGACAATTTTTTTTATCATGAAACAGATACAGATATCTGAGGCCCAGACCTAAAAAGACTGTAGCGCCACTGATTTATTTATCTTAATTTTTTATTAAATATTTTCAATTATCTATACAATATATGTAAGATAAAATATAAATTTGCTTTCAGAGTCTTTCTTGTATCTATTCATCACAGGAAATTCAACGTTAGGAGTAGTAACCTCACCTGACCAAGGCTGTCGCCTATACCGTAGCTTCTTTCCATTTCTCCGGATTAGCTTGGACCCATTTTCATTCGACTTTCTGTTGCTGCCGTTTGACTGCGAACTCTGATTGAAGTGGTGATTCACGTGCCGTTCCACCAGAGTCTGGAAACAACATCCAATATTTTATGACAAACGAAAATCACATAGACGCAACTCTATCTTTATGAGAAATGACCTTTCGAAATTTCCATTTAAGTGATATTAGTACATAGCGTTTTAGTTATGCATTAATGTCGCTTTCTGTTTAATGTAAAAAATCAATAATAATTTTGATCATTTTCCATAAATTTAACACTATACTTGAGAGCATCCTCCATAAGTCCTGTATTGGCACAGGTCGGAGTAGTATTAGAGAAAAATCAAATATAAAAATGCAGAAAAATTATAACAAAACCGATGTGGAGCATTCAACTTCCTTCATTTTATCGCCTTCAACCTTAGAACAGAAAACACAACACAAGTTTTTATTTTCAATTCACAAAAACTATGTACACAATGACAGCACTGAGACGATGATGAATGAAATAAATGAAGACACTGACAAAATCAATGAATAGGTGATGACGAGGAGTGACATTTAAAAGAGTCTGTGACGTTCCACCTGATCAATGAGTCATTGAATCACGCAGAAAACTATATTAAATAGACGGTAAAATCATACGATCATACTTTTGGGAGGAGTAAAGAAAAGTAAGAGATATTATAATAATGGCCCAATCACTATTGACTGGATTTAGCTTTGTGAAGCTTAGAAGAAGCTGATTTAAAAAGCCTTACTAGTTCCCGGTTTTCGATAATTCGAAATTATCTTGGACGGTTTTGCCCGCGCTTTCATCTGCGAAGCCAGATTGCTGCGCTCACAAAGTACATTGTTCAGTACTTCATACAATAAATACGGTTTTTTATACTAAACCTATTCACAATTGTGCCAACAATCATAAATTTTCATTTTCGGAGAGGACATAGGCGTCTTTAAATACCCCGTATTTATAAACAAACCTATTTTATTTAAATTAAACATATATTTTCAGAAAAAAACAAATGTTTATATTCTTATTATATATTATAAACACAACGGAATCGCATCCAATTCGATTCAAAAATACATTAAAGGCTACACAAAGACAAACTGTAGCTACATAAACGAGATTTAGGACCCCTGATAATTTCGTATTGAGAAGCGCGGGAACTATTAAAGTAACCGCGAAAAGACCAACATTTCAAACCGACAAAACGATATATACAATAACGATATAGACACCAATATGAAATGTTCGTTATTGTAGATTCGTTTTGGCGATCTGCATCCTGGTGGTACCTGAGAATCCTGGAAACGATAGCATTTTGGACAAGATTTTGAATTGAATAAATACAGGAAAGGAAATTATATGGACAAGGTGGTTGGATTCGTGTGTCCTGAGGACATAATTTAATAGAACGTAATTGTACCTGAGTGGAGAATCTTCTGTCACAGCCGTCGACAATGCATTTGAAAGGTTTGTTGCCGCCGTGTGAAAGGGTGTGTCGCTCCAACCATAGTCGCGAGCATGATGGTTTGCCGCGCACCTTGCATTTCTCCCAAAGGCACACATAGTTCTGCTTGCCATTTTGCGTTTCAACGTGGACGGCCTGGAATGTTAAATACGAAGATGTACATTTTTAGTTTGTTTTTAAATTTTTAAATAAATTCCATAAATAATTATATTTTTTTTTAGTTTCAATTTCAGGTACTACCAAATAATTTATATAATTTCTGAAAAAATTATAATACACACCTGTAAGTGCTCCAATAAATTCGTATCGCTGTCAAATTCTAACTTGCATTTTTCCCAATAACATACTACTACCGTAGATGTCGCATCTAATTTAGACTTCCTTCGTCTACTATCTGATTTCACTGGAAATTTAGGTGGAAACCGCAAAATCTTGGGTTGCTTCAGTATAGGGCTCTTCTGCGATTCGGATTGACTTTGTTCCATCGAGCTTACACTCACACTTAAAGACAGTAACGATGAGTCTTCATCACACTCTTTGCTACCTTGCGAATCACTAGGTGAGTCAATAGACTTATCCGTTCCTATTCCTGATTCCGAAGACTCCGTTGTAGCGCTACTATAGTTAGCTTCTATCATAGTACTCTCAACGTTCGAAGACACTTCTTTCAAAACAGTTATGTGACTAAACACAGTATCTTCACAACTAGATACCTCTTCGACTTTTTTAAGCTCTTCAGGCACCATTTTAACTTCTTTCGCTTTGTCCTTTAGTAATATCCCTTCTTTCATAACCTTTTCATTCAATAACCCAGCTAGTTTAGCCGAACCGATTTCAGCGAAAGGCCTCGATGTGAGTTTTTTAGTATCTAATGGAACTATGTTATTATTAACATTTTTAGACAGCCATGGAATATCACACTTTTGATTTAAGTCACTTAAGTCGGATTCCTTTACTGTACTGCTTGGTGGCTCTGTGCCCTGAATGGGGTTGTCAGGAGGCTTCACGGGAGCGATGGGTATACTACTCGAATGTAATGCTTGAGTGCTAAAACTTGGTACTATAGGCGGCGGGTGTTGTACTATTGGATTCGAATATGTTGATTGCGATAAACAGGCCGTATTCACGGTGGAATAACTCCATGTCTCCTTGACGTTTGGCACTGAAGTTACAATAAAACCTGGCTGTGGTAGTAGCATCGGATGACTTAAATTTACATTAAAATTCGGCTTTTGATGCGTTACCGCATTGACAGTTTGTATTCCAGGAAAACTTTTGTTTAATACAGGCTGGCTTGAGACAGGGTTTGTTTTATTTGTAGCCGGAAACGATGAAGGTATCGCATTTGAAAGTTTTAATAATGTGCCGTTTATAAGAATTTGCGTCTGCTGATTTTGTAAATGATTTTGTCTTTGAGCAGTTAATGGTTGTGCTTGAGGAAGGACAAAGTTGGGCATCTTTGCCATTAGATTAGGTATTTGCACGACAGTTCCATTAATATTTTGAACAAGCGGAAACACAAATTGACCGTTAATTTTGGTCGGACTCGTTACAGTCACATTAGGGCGATTGAAAGTAACGTTTGGTTGTTGATTTAGCGCACCTATACTACCCTGTTGGTTTAATGTTGCAATATTTCCTTGGTTTATTGTAGCTATTCCCCCCTGTTGATTTATATTGGGAGCGGTTAGCCCATTCTGAGGTATCCTTAGAGTAGTTAACATTACATTTTGAGGAACTGCCATAAACGCAGGAATAGTCGTTGAGGATACAGATCCATTGCACTGTTGCTGAACATTAATTTGGTGGCCGTTATGTAAATGATTAACAGGTACGTTTAAGCTACTTAAATTTCCGTTTACAGTCATCGATACTTGTCTTACACCGTTTGCAATATTCATCTTTGGTGGTGCGCTTCCTTCCCCTGACATTTTTGTTAAGGGTGGTTTCGATCCTGAATTCAAACAGTTTTGTTTCTGTAACTGTACTTGTTTAAGATTATTCGCTTTTGACCATGAAAGGTTCTTACTATTAGCGATACACGCTGAAGACTTTCTGTTGGTGCGTTTTGGAGCAAGTGTGGTCTTTTTAGCTGTTTCCTTTTTTGTCGTAACAGGTTTGTTTACCAAATTTAGATTATTGGAACCACGTGTAACTCCGTTCATTCTACTGTCTAATTTTGCTGTGTGGTTAACGGTACCATTTATTTTCGAATCAGTCTTAACTGTTGTAACCTTATTTCTCGTTTGATTCATTGAAGTGGCTGGAGCGATTCGAACGCCAAATATTTCACGTGTGTCCGATATTGGCAATTTATTATTGCAATTTGCATTACTTACATTATACTGCTTATTAAGATTAGTATTTACTTTGGCGGATGGGTCCGATGATAACTTTTTATCGCGCTCAGTTTTCTTATTGTCGGTTAAGCCGTTTAAAACGCCACAGTTAAACTTCTCTTTGCTCGGCTTCTCTTTTAGTTGTCTTACTTCTACGAAACCATTCATCGTATGAACCTCTTGGTTATCCTTAGTCCTGCAGAAATCCAACACACTATCTGTGCTCTTTAATGGTGATTTACTGAGATCTTTAATTTTAGTTTCAACATTAGTTGTCGACTGAGGCGATTTATGCGTCGTTTGAGATTGTTTTCCGACATCTAGCAAGACTTTAGGACTGAGGGTTTGAGATAGATAGGAAATATATTTCTCGAGATCTTGCGTGACACCATTCTTCGGGAGGCACTTCTTTTTGCTGTCACCATTAGCGATGTGAACGGCGTCGCGCTTAAGGCCGTTCTGTGGCTTCATCTTATGGTTAAAGTATTCTGTGATACGGCGATGCACGGGGTTGGGGCGGCGTACAGGCGCGGGCTGAGCCGCGAGGCGGCGCGGGGCCGGCTCGCTCGCCCAGGGCGGCATGCGCGCTCCCAAACTCTCCTCGCTGCTGCACCCCGACTCTGGGCTGCACGGAGACCGCGGTTCAGTGATGTCGCTACTGCTGCAGCCGCTGCTTTCCGGTGGGCTCAGCACCGCCACGCCACTGAAACAACAAGCAAATAATGAGCTAAGTTATAAATAATCAACACATCGGTAAAGCGCAAAGAGTGTACTCGTCAATATTTTAATTACGTTTATTTATACAGAAATTATACCATAAATGTTAACTATTCAAATACAATTAATCTCAATTAATTTGACAAAATAAAACAGTCCTAACACAAAATTATATGATTTAGAATAATACCAACCAACCTATATAAATATGTCAAAGTTATAATTGCCGTTCTCTTGTCATAGTTAATAGTAATCAGCTGTTGAATAGTTACGATCGATAACATGAGGTTAGAAAGAGTGATGGTAAGAGCGAGACGGCAAGAGTGATCGACGCGAGGAGAGGTGCAATGCCCTGCGAACGCAGTGACGCAACCGTTGCACTGACCGCCCGACCGACCGACCACGCTCAATTATTATTATTTTCGGACATGTGACATTCAATGCTGCACGTACATCGCTATGACGAATGAAGAAATATGTCAAAATCCTTGTCTGCCTCCAATAGAGATTTATTAGACGTGTTCCTCTCGTTTACACGTTTCGTTATCAACACAAAGATGCATAAAAAATTATCTCCGAGAATTATACTTAACTCGTTTCTGGATCTTTATTTGATGATCTACAGGTTAAAATTGTTGAGTATAATAATTTAATTGGTGAATAATATTGAATTCTAACACTAAAAGTTTAGGGGTTTTAATTCGATATCATCGGGCGGGAGAAAGTGCGTGGGGTTACGTCTCGAGCCGTCAAGAGTACACCCTCGCCCTTAGCAAAGCCACAATGTACACATAACTAGACCTTCGAACTCCCCTTTTTGTCTCGCTTTTGAAGAAAGCTTTTTCTAATTGACCCAATTTTCTGACTGTTTTTGCAGCAAAAGATTTTAAGAGCACGTCCGTATCTAAGAGGGATGTACATTTGATATTGAGGATCGTTAATCCTGTTGAACTTTTTGACTCCTATATTTCATACCCTCTATTGATGAAGGATTATTTCGGCTTTGATTTAAAATTATATTATAAAGTAAAGTCTTGTCTTGTTTCTGATTTGAAATAAACATTTTGTTAATCTTTAAAACAAACTCACGTAACTATAACAATAGGAGTTTGAAAAATCGCAAGTGTTTCAATGACCTTTGCCTAGTCTAAGATGTGGAGCATATCAATCTTGCTAGCAATTCTCTTGATTTTTTGCGAATTGTCGAAAGCAAAAGTGGGCTGTCATATGTAGGTGAGGCAGCTTCGGCAAGGTCAGACGTGTCGATTTCGGCCAATGACCCGCGCTCAATGCTACATTGTAATCTTGGCACAGTCGCTCAACTTAATTTATTTCGAATATAAATAAAAGAAATGCGCATTTCGCTGAACACACAACGAGTAAAAATAAACAAAATAATGGAACATTATAAATACAAACGGAGAACATGCCTTGAAAATGGAGTCATTTACTAGAGAGTGCTATCTATAGATTTGACAATTGACTAAAAGTATTATAACACACGTGTCAAAAACGGCAGAATGTATCCGGAATGTTGAAAATGAAGTAATTCACATAAAGTCTACAAACTTTATTATCACTGCATTTATTTATGTAAAACAAGATGTGTGGTAGAGGGTTTGTCAGGGCGTGGCGGCGACGTCCTATAGTTGAACAAATTAAACGAACACGTTTGTTGGACATGGCGATTAGCATTCCTGATTATGGAGCATGCGCATATGGGGGACGAATAATTTAGAAACATAAATTAATTAATTAAGAAGATGTATTATATTAATCCAGGAAATAAAGCGGTAGATATTTTTGCTTAATTATATTACATTATAAGTTCTCTATGACTTTGTATATATATATATATATATTATGTATAAGTCCTGTCAGCTGGCTTTCGGTCAAAAACAAATTTGTTTCTCTATTTAAATATTAATATATATAATATACCGTACGTACCCCAAACTATAATGTAACATTTCTTCAAAAGTAACTGTTAAAACGCATCGAATTTCCTCTAGTTATTAAAAACTTTACAACAACAGCCTTTAAACAACTGGTGATTATCACCAGTATCGTCTCATTTATAATGCTCGGAATATCCTTTAATGATCTCTTGTAACGGAATGTAAAATGTAGTTTCCTTGACATTATGACGCATATGATACTGTAATTTACCGAGTAATACGTTAGATTACGTAGTAAATGCATGTCATTCATGGGAAAATTGCAATCTAATTGTTTTAGCGCAATAGTGCTTATTAATAAATAAGTCGGGTATTGCCTTAGTTATTATTACTGTTAGCGATAACATGACTAGTCGTTGTCATACGACTTATACGTACTTGAAAGATGATACGAAATCTCGTTTAATATTTAGTGTAGGACCTTAGGCTGATTTTAGGATGTCAAAGCTAGGAGGAAATTAGACGTTGAATGTAACCTATGAAATTTGATGAAGGGTGACTTAAAAATGACAAAGATATATTAAATTGTTAAAAAAATCAATGGCGCTACAACCTTTTTAGGTCTGGGCCTCAGATTTCTGTATCTATTTCATGATCATTTGTTTATCTAATAGGCAAGTTGGTGATCAGCCTTCTGTGCCTGACGCACGCCGTTGACTTTTTGGGTCTAAGGGCAAGCCGGTTTCCTCACGATGTTTTCCTTTACCGTTCGAGCGAATGTTTAAAGCGCACATAGAAGTCCATTGATACACAGCCGGGGATTGAACCTACGACCTCAGGGATGAAAGACGCACGCTGAAGCCACTAGGTCAACACTGTTCATATTAAATTAATGATTTAAAATAATTTATAAAAACAATCATCATAGCGTAAACACAATTTCACAGAAAGATAGATAGAGTAGGTACTCTGTTTAAAATAGTTTAAGTTTTATATTATTATTCTAAGCCGTAATATTAATAATGTTAGCAAAAATTCATAATGACGGCGCAACATGTCGAGTGCAGTGCTAGGGTGGTCCTTCACGATCTGACAGACGCGTGCTGAGCAAATTGGATATTATTTTGTAAAAAAAAATCCCAAACAATATTAGTTTATTTATATTGCAATAATTATATGTAGTTTGAGCGCATGGTTTTTATTAAACGATTTTCGTGCCAACTAAAAGGAAACTTTCGCTGGGAATGGAATCAGGGAACTTATATTCAATAGCAACAGTTCATTACGTAAGTTTTAATCTTTACGCGAATTCTATAATATATTTTGGTTAAACCTTAAAACTTTTTTATTGATTGCTATGTTTGCCTATAATTGCTTGTACCTTAAATCTAGCATAATAAACATTAAATAGCGTTTTAGTAATAAACTCCAGCATTTTTTTATAACAAAAATCGATGCTAATTATAGTTTCCATCAGTCTCGTCCAGTGCCAGCTCCCGAGGGACAAGTGGGCGTACAAAAGAGCAAATGATATGTCGCGCATCCCCGAAGCCCCAAACCTACAGCCCTTTGAATTATACGCATTGAACAGGGATATAGTTTCACCGTTACTTTTGGGATTTGTAATAATATACTTTAATTTTAATATATTTTTTCCAGTATGTACAGTATGGATTGGACTTCAGCGTCTATGTTTTTGCATTCCTTAATAGTCCAAACTTCTCAATACTGAAACTCTAAGGTTGAGATCTATAGTGCGCACTTAGGGTGAGATCTATAGTGCGCACTTAGACTTTGCTCTGACTTAACTATCGAGCTAAGACACAGTCGGTATTTATAGAGCAAACTACGAATCTCTCCCTAGTGTTGGCTTAGCTTAATCTCAAGTCCACGAAATCGACGACTTACCAAAAACTTTGACTATAAGCCTAACAAAAATAATGGCCCAAAATTTGCTTTACCATCATATCTTTTACTGGACTTTTTATTTTTGTTGGTTTTTAATGAACGGTGTTGCCATTTTGTATCGGAGTTCCATAGACTTTGGGAAAAATAGAATTTGAATTCAAAGAAATTATAAATGATCTTGATAAATACCTATGAAATGCATGAAATAAAATAATTACACATTATTATGGTATTTATTGTTGTTTATTTATATTATTTATGTAATTGTTCAAACCCCATTTTTGAGAAATCTTAAAAATAACTGGTGTGATTTTGTATGTCACCTGGCAGCCCTGGCAATTGGCATATTATAGTGACAACGAAATTCAAACTATAACCTAACCAAAACATTGCGATCCGTTCTACGTAATAAAATTATTGTCATCTTTAAATAATTAATACATTTTCTAAAGGTTACTCGTGAATTTCTAGTTATTGCAATAATAAAATAAATGAATACATAAATAACAATAAATTGAAGATATATGTGTACCGTTTTAGATTTTTAAATATTTGTTATTGTTAACTTTTTTAAAGGATAATAAACAAAGTATTGCATGAAATGAAACATCAATTTGTATTTTGACATTTTCTGTCTTAGCTTGGGCTTAGCTTAATCTCACCGTTAAAATGTCTATAAATACGAAATCATAGTTTAACCTTAGTGTACACTAAGCAAAGTTTTTCGTAAGGTAAGTCTGAGCAAAGTCCAAGTGCGCACTATAGATCTCACCCTTAGACTTTGCTCTGACTTAACTATCGAGCTAAGACACAGTCGGTATTTATAGAGCAAACTGCGAATCTCTCCCTAGTGTTGGCTTAGCTTAATCTCAAGTCCACGAAATCGACGACTTACCAAAAACTTTGACTATAAGCCTAACAAAAATAATGGCCCGAAATTTGCTTTACCATCATATCTTTTACTGGACTTTTTATTTTTGTTGGTTTTTAATGAACGGTGTTGCCATTTTGTATCGGAGTTCCATAGACTTTGGGAAAAATAGAATTTGAATTCAAAGAAATTATAAATGATCTTGATAAATACCTATGAAATGCATGAATTAAAATAATTACACATTATTATGGTATTTATTGTTGTTTATTTATATTATTTATGTAATTGTTCAAACCCCATTTTTGAGAAATCTTAAAAATAACTGGTGTGATTTTGTATGTCACCTGGCAGCCCTGGCATATTATAGTGAAAGTGACAACGAAATTCAAACTGTAACCTAACCGATGTCTCTCGCTTCACATCTGTTATTTTCGTTTCCCTGAATCTTCTACCATTTATTACCTGACTACCCTAAAAAATTTGAGATAGGAGTGGAACATATGAAATTAAAAAATCTGTTAGAAATAGAATTTCTTCAACAAAAATATAAATTAGTATTAGAAATATGTATTACACTTAAAAAAAGAATCAGAAAATAAATGATTAAAATGAAACAAGTTTTGTTTTGATATTCTTTATTACCAAACAAATTACCTAGTTAAATTGTGCAATCACAGATTGCCGGAATGCTAGACCTGTAGGAGATCTTTCATTTTTTCTGTGTTACTCAACTTCTGCTGTCAGCAAGATCACCATCATCATAAGCATCCCCTCTCTGTATACCTATATTATGCAATACAGCACAAGCTATAATTATATAAAACTAGTATTTGTAAATTTTGACTGTAGTCCTAGCTGTAAACATGGAAATTTCCTTTTTCACACTCCGAAAAACCTTTAAAAAATATGCCTAGTTCTTATTTGAGAATAATTATAAATATTGTCAGCTCTTGTCATTGGATTTAAAAGTGTTGTTAACATGAAGTTAAGTGCTGGATAACCGCTGTCACCTACTAAAACAGGCATTTTCTAAATATCCTGCTGTCGTGTGAACTGCCAGGCCACCTAGTCACTATAGCAAATATTTCCATATCAGGCCCTATTATTGCTTGCACATTTACAGAAAAATACCCTTTTTTATTTCTGTATGCTTCAGAGTGAGCGATACCTTTGGGTCTATTAATTTTTATATGGGTGCAGTCAATAGCTCCGATTATACTGTTTAGGCCATGGTGAGTATTAGATCTTCCTAATTCTTCAAACTTCGTTTTGGCTGTGTTCATATTTCTTGGAAAATTTATAAATCTAGGAAGTAATTTACTCAACTCTGCAGAGACTTTATTTATAATTAAACTGTAGATGGGCTTATGCTGTTCAGATCACCACACACCATCTGTAATGTCAATAAATTATTATTAGTCACATATATGTTATGTTTCTGAAAGTCAGAAGACAAAAGTCTTCAACATATGTATTTAAAATCATTTGAGAAGAGGTATAATATATCAAATTGAAAAACCATACATATTTATGAACACAATATTACCTGAAAACATCCAGTTGCATTTTTATGCCTTAATGCAATAAGTATTTGCAATTGCGGTAGGTTTGGCGATCCTCTGTTGTTGCAAGTTTGTAATGATCAGCGTCAGGATCACATTTAATACCGTGTGTTTCAAAATACGGTTCCTTCTTTTGAATTCATTCTCACCGTACCTACAGGATTGAAGGATTTTGGTTTTATTAGTTCCGAACATATACAACACTTTAGGCATTCGTGGATTCATATTGGCTGCAGTTCCTATCCTTTCAATGTTTTCTATTGAAGATAGAACTCTCTCTCTCTCCATCATGTCACTTTCGATATTGATATTTCCAAGCGGTCCATGTAACAAAGCCAAATCACAAAACGTCACAGTGCTTCGGGAATGCGTAGGTCTTAAGTAGGTATACGATCCAGATTGGTCCAGGTCCAAGTCACAAAGATACAAACAGAAACAGAAAAGAGAAAAAGTGGTTTAAAATTTTCAATTGTTGATAGTTGATACAAGTGCTCTGTTGCTGTTGTCAAAACATTGCGATCCGTTCTACGTAATAAAATTATTGTCATCTTTAAATAATTAATACATTTTCTAAAGGTTACTCGTAAATTTCTAGTTATTGCAATAATAAAATAAATGAATACATAAATAACAATAAATTGAAGATATATGTGTACCGTTTTAGATGTTTAAATATTTGTTATTGTTTACTTTTTTAAAGGATAATAAACAAAGTATGGCATGAAATGGCATGACATTTTCTGTCTTAGCTTGGGCTTAGCTTAATCTCACCGTTAAAATGTCTATAAATACGAAATCATAGTTTAACCTTAGTGTACACTAAGCAAAGTTTTTCGTAAGGTAAGTCTAAGCAAAGTCCAAGTGCGCACTATAGATCTCACCCAAAGTATCAAATACAGAAAGCAATTACTCTACCCTTTCAAATGCAGTATGTAGGAGAGCCGTATTTAATTTCCCAAAACTTGATGGGTTTGCCGCACAAGGGATTCTGATACCTGAAGGGGCCTTGATTGAAAATTGAGAGTGATTTATGATCAAATATTATGTTACAAAATTCATAATTTTATACTAATTCGATTTTCTCACTCAACTAACGAATTGATGCACGCTTTGTGTGTTCAGTGTACAAGGTACGACCATTTGAGTATTATCGTATCTTAAAGTTAATAAACGCCTCTATTTATACATTTTTGCAACACAAGTGCACGTTATATTCTAGCTACTATAAGTAGCTACATTTATATAATTATAGATAGGAAATCACTTTGTGATTCTATCGTTAATAATAATAAATAGTTATCCAGGAACAATATTAAAGAAACAATAAATACTCATACATAATGCATCGAACTTAAATACGTCAAGATAAAATCAGCTTCCGTAAACAATAAAGCGATCGAGAGAATACTACGTAGTACAGTAGTAGTACACCTACACAGGAGCCGTTACGTAAAATTGCAACTATTCACAACCGGTCGACATTCACATATCACTTTATTTACACCCATTCATTAAGTTGAAAGGAAGTCGCGTCGCGTCGCGTGAGAATCGTGTCAGGGAAGGGAGGTGCTACCTCCCCTCCCCGGCCCCTCCCCTACCAACCCCTATAACCCCCGGCGATTATTATGCTAAGTGTCTGCGACTACAGGGTGAGTTTTTCGCGCATCTGCTATTTATTTACGCGTTTTATATTCATAGGATTTCGTAACTGACTGAGTTACGGTTCATTACGTTACAAGGTTTTGGAGTGATGTCATGTTCTATTTTGACCTTTATGTCATTGATTTATAGTCTATTGTAGAGCGAGCGGGAAATAGGTTAGTGGGAGCGGCTGATGTGTTCGATTGAATTTAGGAAAGACGCGTTCGAAAGAATGAGCGATGAACGAAATGAGTTTACGAGATTTTGACGAACGATCGAAACCGTGATCCCTAATGTACGACATAAATTACTATGCGAACAACAAAAGTTTTGTTTACCTAATCATCAAAATCAGGTATTTGTTAAAATCGTCAATTTTTTGTATATAAAAAATCCAAAACAAATAAAAATATTCGTCAACACAAAAATAGATTAATAAATAATTACAACTTAAAGAATGATATTTTGAAATATTAGGATACAAATTGGACACTATAAGGCAATTCCCGGTTCCCGACGGAACTCAACAACTTAATTTCCCCTTCGATTTCAGGCAAAGCTCGATAAATGTTACTTCGACAGCCTAGATACGTACCGGAAACAAAACTACGACAAAGTTTAGAGTATAGTTGCCAAAGTTTTATTTGAGATAAGAAATTACATATTTCGAAATGTATAAACTAGTAAGGCAGTATGAACGACAGATAATACAAAAACAAAAAACAACGGCTTTTTCAATATAGAATATTATTTCCACTTGAAAGAATCACAATAATTGCCAAGCAGTAGTCAAAAGCAAATAAAATACACCCAAAAGATGAAAATTCATACTAATTTAGAACTAATCAAACTATGAATGATATATACCCGAGGGAGTTATTGTACGCTGAACGAAGCGTAAAGACGAAAGTTCCGGCAGCGTCTGGGCAGGAAATAGGCGAATCCACAAGGGCCCTTTGTTGCCGCCACTCTACATTGCGAAACTTCGTAAATCCGTAAAACGAGCTAAACAAGCAGCCGATACGTCGCTCGGTAAATTAGGACGGGAAAGTGGAGTAGACTTTTAAGGCGGGAGTTTATAGTTTGTGGTGATTTTTCCTGAATCTGCTTTTATTTGAGCTTTTAGTTTCTGATAGATTAGTTGCTAGAACTTCTTCTATTAGTAATTATTTTCTAGCGAAACTATAATCGTTTCGGATTGGATGGTTGACCACCTACAAACTTCAAAAGAAAAATTTAACGTATACAGAATTGTGCGTTCCTTCTAACTTATTTTATTATTTATTTATTAATATATTTATGTATCTGTGTTATTATTATACAGATATAATTAACTTCAACATCCATTATGTCCTGTCAACATTTCCGGTAACTTAACTTTTTGATTTGTAAAAGTAACAAATGTATTAGTCACCAAGAGATGCCTAAACTTATTTCAATACAATACCAGCTACTCCCGTATTGAGGATGCGTGCTGCGCGTGAGATCCTCGCTACGACGCCATGCGATCGTGTGTGGCATAATCACCCCATTACAATAACAACCACGTTCTGATGCTATTTTAGTCGAGAATTCGTAGCCTTTTGATCGGAAACACATGTCTATAGTGGGACTAAGATTTGGCTATTGCACCAAGAATTAACCAGCTGGCAAAGTATCAAAACGTGACTTGTAAAATAATTGTAAAACTTCTAAAAATGGAAAATACATTTAATGTAATTAGAACAGAGTTATGCCCGCGCACTTAAAACTTCATTCACATGTGTAGGTGCGTGCACAAAAGTACCCTCAATTTACGATTTCAAAAGATTTTGATGAAGGCCCAAGTTATTTGATTACGATTAGACGCGGTAGTTTTAGTGCAGCGTTGCAAACATAATGTGATTTAAAAGCAATCTCAACGTCGCTCGCTCCATTTCCGAATGAGTGTCGCATCATCGAACGATCTCGTGCTGTCGTAATGTATTCCGCTATTTCACGGACTTTTAGCTTGAGGAAATTTGACAGAACGCTTGAGAAACTATTTCGATATCAGGTATCATATCGATGATTAAATGAAAATATTTTCGACGTGTTTGGATACGACAGCAAGATATTTCGGTTGAGTATCAAAATTGTATGAAAATCTTTTTGAGCAACGTACATACCTACCCACATAACATAAAGCTACTTTTCTTAATATATCAAGTAGGTAATAATTAAGTCTAGAGCGCTAACAAAAACAAACTTCATAAGGATCAATTTACCGACAGATTTTAAAAAGTGATTTGCTTCACGATTAGCCTATGTTAAGGCTTAAGATTGACTAGATTTTATAAATTAACAATTTAAAATAGTTTTATTAATCTGTGGAAGAAATGTGCGGTTCATACAAGCAATCAATTTAGGTATATTGCTTATAGTAGGTTCGCAAATAAATCTCGTTGCCAACATAACCGCACGCACATACGCCGTGTATTTGCCAGTACGTAACGAACTATGCTAATTCGCATCTCAAAGGCATAGGGGACGACCCTCAACCCGCGGGGAAACACAAAAACCAATTAAACAGACTGTTGTAATTCTAATACGATCAAATTATACATTGCAATTATAATATTTGTAGGGTTATAACGAAGGTACTTATTATCCAGATTCAAAAATTTCAAAAAAATCTCTAACTACAATAATGTATAGAAAATATTGCATGAGTTACGCATTACCTTTAGGTGAGTATGCGACAAATACGAATAAATATGGCGAAGACCTTGATATACTGGAATTCAGTACCATTCTATTGCGTGACCATATTTGACTAAAGCCACGAATATGTACATTTTATCACAACAGTATACAAGTATAACTATTATTTGAAAAGGTAAAGCTTCATTATGTCAGAAGCCACAGAATCGATAAAAGGGTTATTAGGAAAAAATTTGTGGCCGTTTTTATTTCACCAACCTAAGCATAATCTATAGTGTATGATGGTTCTCAGAAACGTAGATCTTGGAAATGCGGGATAGCTAAACAATTGTTAACAAAAAATATATAATTTTAGTATTGAAAGCTAACGGTACAACTCAACCAGGAAATGAATAAACTGACCCCAGCCTTAGGCATATACAATCAATAATGCATATTCGCTATTAAAGGCTAATCGATGCGGGTTAGATAACAGCCAGCAAAAACAACCAGACATACTACATACCACTCCCATACAACTTGTTCAGCGATTTTTCCCAACACTGTATAATCACTATTTCTCCTTACGAATAAACTGGTTGTATTAAAATACTTGTGAGGTTTACTAGTATTATTAACTCGAAACACAACAACATCTTTATAATGTATGTGGTTAATGTTACATTTATGATTTTTACACCCAAATAACAAATGCATTTTAGTAATTTTATTGAGACTCCAAACTTGCTTACATTGATAGAACATATTTTTGGGACTATGATTGTTAAAACATATAACAATTATTTACGGATAACCCCAGCTTAAATGATTATTATAAGGGGATTCACGCTTGCCTTATGTATATTTTGTCATCATCGTGTTAGCAATCAATGCAAACTGAGTGGTATCAACATTAATGTTTACGAAGTTTTATCATTGACTAGGGCGGTGCAATGGCCCTCATTCATTTGATAAGCTTATCTCCATAGTACTTCGGTCAAAGCGCCTGATCCCTTTTAGGCCGATTTTATAGTAAGAATGTCGTCTAACTGTGCATGAACCATTGTGTTTCAATATTTACTAAATATTGTTGATGTTTTGATATCACGTCTACAAATATGATATATTTTCATTTGCACTAAATAAAAATCTAGACAAATGTAAATAATTATTTTTTCCAAGATACACAGTAAAAAGGCCCTTTATAAAAAATAAAACCAGTGCTTGTATTAAATTTCCTGACGTTTAAACTAGTAAAACTATCTGTATCAATAAAATAATTTTTAATGTTTAAAACAACGTTTTTGTATAGTGATTTATCAATACAAATTATAAATTTCATGTCAAGTGTGTAATGTTATGTATGTTACGAGTTACAGCTAAGTTACGACTATGTGTCAACGCGAGCCGCCCGCAATATATCAATCCCCTGTGCAATAAATCGAAGACAAAGCAAATTGTGTGAATGCACATTACACAGTTCATGGCATGCTAATATACGTAATTATTAGAATTAACTAATAATGTAATTAATAAATAAAATACAAATTATAGAATTCCTTCGGTGGCGTCTGTACTAACGCAATTAAATCAAATACTACTGAGCGGTTTTCGACGGTCTTCACGAACAGTTTATTACGTTTTTTTTATAGAACAGGGGGCAAACGGTCAGGAGGCTCATCCGATGTTAAGTGATAAACGCCGGCCATGGACACTCAATGCCAGAGGGCTCGCGAATGCGTTGCCGGTCTTTTATGAATTGGTACGCTCTTTTCTTGGTTTTATATAACGATTGTTAATGGTAAAAAAAATCTCCAAAATGCATGAGAGCCTTGATATTTATCTTGAAACCGTAGAAGAACCTTTCTGATTTCAAGTGGAATGCAGATTAGCTTGTTATTCGTTTTCAGTATGGAACTCTTATGGTACTACAAAGAATAAGATGGAATAACTAATAAATTCTAATAGTAACTTGTATATAAACAGCGTTATAAGAAGATACATTTAAGTAGATACCTATTTTACTAACTATATTCTAATAGATAAAAATAATGTACATATTACTAAATACTAGATATTTAATTTAAAAAAGGATACGTTATAAAAAATATACTAAACTGTTCAATATTATGATCGTATTGAATATATAAATTAAACGATTGTCAACAACTGTCAGTTGTAATTGATAGTTATCGTGTAACTCATTAGTTTTGTAATCAAACTAATCGATCGGACTTCGACGATTTGATGTAATCGATGCATTATATTTCATTTATAAAACTTACAAATATGTGTTAGGCGTGTAAAGTTCTTAATTATTACGTATTATAAAAGCCACATATTGTGTAATTTCTTTCTTACTTTTAAGTTATATAGTATTATTGTAGCCATTCAGGTGCTGTCCACTCATTTTGTCAAAATTTGACTTTCTTCTATTAAGAATAGATTGCTTGAGAATAATTTCCGAATACTAAAAAGCGATAAGGCTGCCAGTTGCTCTCCTTTTCATTTAACTATTTCAATTGTATTTTATGTTTGATTGAGATTTATAAATATGTAAGTATATCAATCAATCAAAAAATAAATGAAATGTTATGTTGATTTTTGTTTTAACCATATACGATTCTTTATATTCCTGTTATAATGTGCCGGTACATCCGTTAGTAAGCTCGAAAGTTTGGGGCGTCACCTCGGCCGGCGCGGGCCATAGCGCTCGTAATCGTGCGCCTGAATTAGAGGAAGTGCGCATCCGGTGTTTAATTAACATAAAGCTAGCGGACTCTTGCCGACAAGTGTTCACACGTCACGTGTCACTGAACAGTATTGAAAATATTATTATTTTATTCCTGGCCAATAAGTTGGGGTCGTTAATGCGCATAATTTTTAGGACTTTTGCACCTACATATGCAAACTTTTCCCTGCCATTTAAAATGTTTTAATTAGTATCAAGAATCTACTGCATGAATAAATACCGGATACACTGATTTGTAGATTTGTAACCTACCATGACTATTATAATTTTATTTATTATTAATAATAATTATCTATGTAGCCTTAAATAGCTATTTTATATATTGGATCGCCGTCTTGGCAGTGGTAAATCGTCCTCTCACAAGACGAGTTATAACCATCATTTGGAGACAAATCAATTAGGTAATTGATTTGTGATATTTGTAGGTAAAAATATCCCAAAAATCCCTTGGTGAATGTCTATATAACTAATAGATAGAGCGACATCTGAAGAATCAAAGGTTTTTGAATGCTAAAACAATTTAAAAGTAAAAAAACGCGTCAAACGCGAACAGAAAATGAGGGATTTAATCCTAGGCCTAGTTAGTGTAATATCGAATGACGTTGCTTAGCGCTGTATAAGGTTACAAGTAATGGACTCTTGGTGTATTCAGGTTAAGTAGGACCTGACGTGACACGATTACTTGGAAGCCAGGTTATCGGAAAATACATACGATACGGATATGTATTTTGCGAAAAGGATAGGAATTGTGTTGTAGAATTCTAAGTAAAATAATTTTATGTACTAACATAGAGTCGTCTATGATAAACATTTATTTATTTTATTATTATATACATATATAAAATAATTGTGTTTATAGTAGTGGCTTTTCGGTCCACCAGGACATCGAACAAATTTACAACTTATTTACCAATGTGTTGTTCAAGCAACACAATATTAAAATTGTAGGCACTACGAAGGTATAGTATTGTAACCAAGCCATTAAGATACAGCCTTAGGAACTATTTAATCTTTTGATTTCATTTCAAAGTATTAAAACATACAAAACATATAATTACTGCTTCTGGCACTCACGATTAATATAGATTTCTAATACTTAATTTTCAAAATCAGTTAAGTACTTTCAAACTCAAGGGCCATTGTTATCTGAAGATATACTTTATACTAGCAATAGCCTAGCGCTCGTTTTACAAATGGAAATATTCTTGGCGTTAAATAATAGAATAGCTAAAATTTAATTCTGGTATAAAATCCCTTTCAATAGGTCTTCGAGTGGAATGTTCATGTAATCCATATCAAAAGTGAAATGGTTCAAACACGTCAGGAATTCAGGCTAAATACTTGACTCGATTACTAGGCTAGGAAAACGGAGCGTTACAGCCGCACGCAACTTACGTAAAACCACCGGTTATTATTAGGTATTACACCGCATTGCATTATGCTCTGTATCGATGCTTTTATTGGATTTATTGGTCCGAGTACAAATGTTCTCTATTATCTCTTATTTAATGTTGAGTCATTCCTGGCACTAGACGGCCATGCTTAAAATACGTAAAACCTTGTGTTTGGTTTGATTTCCGAAATTATTGTCAATCACTTTCCAGCCTAAAGATCATCATCATCATCATCAAAACAGAACCAAAATGATTTTATCTCTAACTCCATAAGGTTTCACTAGCTTAACAAAACCACTTGTGTGCCGATGAACTACGAGAAGTGCAAAGCTTATCGCCTAGATTGTTATAGAAAATATTTTAAATATTTGACTATATAACCATAGCTACATACGCGAACAAAAGCGTCTTACAAAATCAATGCGGTGTCCGGACAATGCGGGCGCGGTCCAGGGTTCATCAACCCACCACAAATGACCCCCATGCGATACCATCGCATGCATTAAACTAATCATTTTCTTGACATGCAAAAGCTCTTGTTATGACCTCCTGTGGGAATTATCTAGCCTATGATCTATATAACTGCATACTAATTATATATATTTAACCACGTTCATAGATAATAATTACTTTTCATAATACAGATACGGCATTTCTATTCTACATAGAAGTCTTGAGTTTCTTAATGTTACAATTAAGTGAATTCGTAATTACACATCAATATAATATATCTCGTAATTATGTACTTTTATACAATAATTATGACAAATTATCCATAAGATTAGCTTTTACTTTATTATTTATTGATTTTTTAGAGTTTAGTTTTAGTTTTATATTTCTAGTGTTACAAGTAATTTTATGATTTTTTGTTAATTATTTATTCACTTCTTGTACTTTACCCTCAGTACACCTTTTTTATTTTTCCATACCACGGTTCCCTGGTAGAAATCGCTTGTTAGCGGTAAGGACGCCCGTTGCCTTATAACTTATGTTAGGTACCTGTTTTTATATGTACGTTTAAGGTAAAGAAGTGAAAATAAATAAATCATATTTAAGTATAGCTAGATATGATTATGTGCTTTCCTCGATAAGATCGACAACCTACCACAGTGTTTTTGAATAAAGATTTAAGTAGAGGTATTGGTATGTTTTTCGGTTTAATACCAAACTTGGAGGTGAGAACGTAAAAGATGAGAACGAAAACGGAAGACGAAACTACTAAGCTCGTTTGATAGTGATCACTAGATTATCTGGTCCATAACGTTCGTCCAATCACAAATTCGATTGCGTATTTTGTTTTACATTCCTACGACTGCGAACACTTTAAATCCAACTTCAGTTGCAGTTATTTATTGTTAAACTATAACATGGGATATATCGATTATACAAAATCGGAAATGTGAATAACAATTGTTATAAATGAGGAACAATTAACAATGAGACATTGCTTATAATGAACAACTTCATGGATAATTAAACAAATGGTGCGGATTTCCTTATTCACATACTATTTTACCTTATATATTAAAACTTTACATTCTACTACTATGGTCATTTGTCCTACTAGTAAAATGTTTATGAACGATAGACTAATTACGTATTGTATTACGATTTTACCTTCTAAATTTAATCCTTTTAATTTATAGTCCGACATTTAGTCAACATAAAACTTGGTTAAAATGAATGAGTAGCAATAATGAGGACTGGAAAGTCGAGGATCAAAAGATAAAAAATAAATGTCTACATTTAAAAGTTTGGTGTAATTAGTTAAAATCTCTTTGAATTCATAGGACATTTCTCCTAAAATAAAAAATAAACTTAATATTTTATGAGAATTAACTTTTATTTATGTGAATCTTGATGATTGAGAATAATTCGACCTTAATATAAAAATATTATTAATACTTTTGATATTATAACTTACAGTGCTTTTAACGTGCTTTTGGCGTTAGTAAAATTGTAAATAGTTTTAAAACAATCTAAGGTAATCTGATACTTCAATGATACTAGTGTCATGAAAATAAAATCTCTTCTATAATAAACAGAACTCAGTACTCTGCTGCGTGGAAAACAAAAGAACTGCGATCCGTTCAGTGCTTCAACATAAGCATTCATAATTAATTACAACTGTTTTCATCTCTTCATTTCCTTGTAATTAGCCTGTTTTACATTAAGACTTTCTCGGTATCTTTCGGATTTCAATTTTAAAGGTATACTCAAACTTTAATCTCACTTAGAAATCTTCAGTTCGTTCTTCAATTCTTAAAACGGACAATGGCGATTCTCAATTCGGAATATATTTTTATATGTAACTTTCGATAACACAAAAGCGTCTAATCGATTTGTACCTACAATTTTTATTTATAATAATTACTCTCTATACTTTGCATATGGTCCAGTAAAAATTCAAAGATTCTAAAGAAATCGAAGGAAGACGAAGGTGACTTCGAATGAGATCAGCACAAGTACAAAAGCAAAAGGTCTTTTATGGCAATTTTAATAAGACTACAGTTATTTAAGGAGATGTTCTTATATCAATAGAACGGTACTTTTATAACTCTGTATACAAATTAAGATTCAAAATCGTCAAAGCATAATTGTACATTAAATAAAATATTTTTGTTTTTTTCACCTCGCTACCGTTATCACAACATCTACATTATATGCCCTAAATGTATGTGAATTTTACCCTCCAACATTCTCGGTGTCGCAATAAAATGGACGACTGATACCTCTGTCACCTTTTAAATATCTTAAGCTAATGGACGTGACCTAAAATCTTTATTAAAAGTGAAAATAACTGAAACTTTTTTTATGGATTTACTTTAAAGCTATAGATGATGTTAAAAATGCCAATTGTAATAAAGATGTAAATTGTATACAATAAATCAAGAGCGCTAATCGCTGCCTGACAGTCGTTAAGCCACGGTACAAAATGACAGGCTCGGCTTCGAGCTACAAGCTGCTACAGGCTTCATATGTCTTCTGTTCTACCGTACCGTACGTGGTATTCTATTTGGGAGTACACATTTGTCTAAGTTAGGAGGCTAAAACAAATAAATGTGCATTTTAATACTATGTAAACTATTTCAAAAATTATAATGATTATAAAGTTTGTATGATAAAGTTTAACTTTAAAAATATACCGTCTTTTGTTTTTCGTCCTTCACGAGTTGACAGAAAAATATGAATAAACATTCTTTTGTTTGAAACTGCCTCGTGGCTACACGATAGCCGCGATACATATTAGGCACATAAGCTATTTTATAATGTATGTATAATTGTATATTGATAAATACCGCATTAAAATCCATTGCGCAGTTTAGAAGATTGAAATTACACAACATTTTTATCTACGACATGTAAAACTAATAATAACTTACGATACAAAGACGTAAATAACAAAAATAATTCCAGTGACCCGCAGTCTCGGTGTCATTGACACATAATGATGTAATCAGAATTGTACTGACATTTTTAAGTAAATTAATGACCATTTTTGTATGCCAAAACATGTTTCAGTTGACTTAAATTATTTATATATATATATAAGATACGATCTTGATTCACAAAACACAGTAACACATACAGCCCAAACATTCTAGAATCTAGTCTAGAAATATCCAGCGGAAGAACTAGATAATAAAAATGGATGAGAAACATTAAATAAAATGAAACTGCATTTCCGAAGATGCCATCTGAGGAGTACGACACAACCGGTTTAGTGAACAAAAAAGGAAAAAAACCCTAAAGATTATTGTTAAAAAGACTAACAAAAAATCTTTTGTTGCGTGTGAGATGCCAACAAAAAATGTACCTTAAGAAAAAATATAACGAACTCGGTAGTCAGAATCATGCACATGTTCAAAATAGGTAAAGAAACTTGCATGATTGTACATTTTTTTAGTTTTTCTGTAAAACATTTTACCCCATAACACTGATTTTTATAGAACTTGTAAGAGATTGACTGCTTGCGAAATAAAATACTAGAAATATAACACAAAGAGGCTTCTGAATTGAATTTTACGGCATTGTAGGCTGTCAGATACAATACAACAAAACGATCGATTAGTTATGTAATAAAATAAATAATTCATTGATAATATATTTTCGAAAGATATCAATGAATCATTAAATTACAGACGACATTGAATCTGTTTTGGAGCGAATAGGTTCGTTGACATTGCCGAATGCGTAATATGATAACATCTTATATTTCCTGTACGGGTAAATATTTAGATCCTGTCAAGGTAGATTTAAAAATAGGTAAAGATTTTTAAAAATTATAAATTTTTAAACAACAATACTTTGTCGTATTTAATAATAAAAATATCGTTTTAAATTCAAATGAAAATTCTATGAAACTAGGAAGTCACACACTCCTTAAATATAATTTACATCAGAAATACTTTTTCAGTTGTAATCAATTGATGGGAAGCAACTTGTTTATTAAATTCAACCGCCTGTTACAAAACGAGTCAAGATGGGCCGAAAAACCTTGAGACCCTTGTTGTTGTTGTTGACTTTACACATGTTGGTGATTGGCGAATAAATCATCATAACTATTTAAAAAGAGCATTAAAATTACATATTTATATAACTAAATACAACTATGTATATGTTTAATCACCTAGTTATGTGCATTAAAGCGATTTTCAATTTTACTTTACCATTTCTATAATAGAATAAAATCCTACTTCTTATAGCAAGCTAAGTTATAACTTTAAAAAAAGACAAAGAAATAATGAAACATAACATCTTTCCAATGATTATTGTTATTAGGAAGCAATCGAAGGTTAGGTTAAGGTAATATAGATGTGTCATATTGCATCCGCAAAGATGTCGTGCGCAGTGTGTGTTAGCACAAAGAGTTGTAATTATTTCCTTATTTATTATCATTTAAAATTACGTATTTTAGAACGCAAATGAACTGTCGTTTTCGAAAGTTGTCGAAACATTTCTATTGGAGACAAGTTGTGTTTATAAAATGATTACTCCTATTATGCATTTTAAATTAAAGCACACAACGGCACATTAATCTTTCATGATAGTCGCGTAACTCTTTGAGTACTAATTGGTACCATAAATTCTAGTCAAATTAAAGGATCGTTCAGTCGTAATTACAGGCAGTTTCAATAATGTATTTGTCGGACGACATTCGTAACTACCGCGTACTTTTCATGCCATTTAGTCATAGATATATAGAGATAAGATATAGATAAATTATTCTGTAAGGAAAACCGGAAGGTTGACCACAAGGTGCTCTGTGCACCTGCATTTAGACCTTTAGTTGAGCGATGTCAAGATATTTAATAAATACTTTATTTGACTAATCTGTATTGGTTTTAATACGATAATTGTTAATAATATTAGTTTCTGCCATAATAATGTAATTTAACAGCAATTTTTTAAAAGCGCACACAATTTTAATCTTGAATGTTTAATTATTATAGGTTAATCGTTGTTTTTTGTATGAGATTATTTTACGCACAGAATTAACATTAAAATTTTGCTGATAACAACCTCGGTCATATTGGATTTCTAAATATGCTCGTCTAAGTTGTAACAAAGTATAAGAGGTTTAACAAGAACCCTTACATTAAAAAAATGCGATTAATAAAAAGTTTCTAAAACATGGGAATTATTTTAAAACGGTATACGGCATCCCCATCGAAAGGGCGACAATCTTTGTTGTGAGCTAACAAAAAACATTTTACTCCAACATAGTGGGATTTTTTGCGCCAGAAACGAAAAAAGCGCCAAATATCGTGGCGGCGCATTGCTTACCGATCGCGATCGAACGGCCGCGGCAGGGTATGGGGCAACGAACGTGACGGGGACGACGTCCATGCTCATGCATGGTGTTAGACTCCGGGATAATCACCTCGGTCGATGGTGTAGCATAACTTCGCATCGCCCAGCGCCAGCGGTCAGCTCCTCAGCGGTAGAGCACTGCACATCCTCGCCATCACACACACACGATCGATCACACTAGATACACCCGGTCGGCACTGCACAGCACTGTCACAAACATAGACACAACGACACGGGCGGCGTGCGCTATGAACGCCGATGCATTGGCGGCAGTGCGTCGTTGTCCCGGGCGCGCAACAGCTGACAGGAGGCGCAGTTCCCCTTCCCCTCCGCTCCCCACGTCTCTCCCCCCGCCTTGCCGCGCTCCTCTCGCTCCCGCGCGCAGCCGCGAGCTGGTGCGTGCGCCTCGCCCCTCACACCACCTCTAATCCATTATTTACGGACGGCCGACCGGTTTCAGCCGCGTTCTCGGCCTGCCGCTTCACGATCGTTCAAATTTAATGCCCTTCCTATGTCCGGCCTCAAATGCGATAAGATTACGGCTGTCGGACTCTAACCAGCTCAGGGCTCTTCTTCGATGTATTCGAGGCTAGTGCATAAAATAAAGCGCGTTTAAGTAGCGCACTTTTATGACAAAACGTGACTGATATTATAATAGGGCAGTTGAACGAACCAAGGCAGGCACTGCCTTGTACTCAAGACACTAAAATGCCTATAACCCGAGTGAAATATTCTGTTCCAAGCCACAAATGTGAACTGAAAGTAGTAAATCAACGTACAAACCGTAAAAACGATGTAAAAATAGAATTGGATATGAAATGCCAGTTCGCTTTAAAGCACTTTTCAGAACGTTACGGGCACTTACTCATAAGACTGTCAATCTCCAGATAACATCATAACAGAATCATTATAAAACAAAAACTCATAGCGTTCGGACACCTCAAGTTTATCTCAGTATCTTATTTCTGTGAAAACAGCTTAAAGAAACGTTCCTTATCTTATTTCTAGGAACGTCATTTTGTCTACATAATCCTCGTGACTTTAATATCCATTTTAGAGCTTAAGATTTCACCATGTCAATGACTTTCTTTTACTTTTTTAAATTTGTAAAAACGCCCTACATTTAACCAACGGACTGTATAATATTAAAAATGTGTCACCTAAATATTTGAACAAGTAAGCGGTACGGTCCATAATAATTTTATTATTCTTAAATTGAAGAAAGTAATAAAATCGCAGTGGGGAGGTTGTAAATTGAAATGGTAAATACAACAAATAGCACAGAAATACACGCCATAATATTATTGTAGACCACCGCGTCGTTTTGCTACCGTGAATAATATATCATATTCTAAATCTAATGAAAGACATTAGATATCTTGTAAATTAAGAACCATATTACGGGGGTCCTAAGGCTTGATTTAGTGTTTCATTACATATTCCTGGTAAAATTAGTGCCGGGCGAGTAGGTCCCGAGATAGCAACTTCGGGATCCACTTTCGGACAGCCATAGAAATCACGTAGTTCGCGGAACTTTGTTACCTGTGGTGCGGCAGCGCAGCGCACCAAGGTGAACGCTCGGGCCAAGGACGTGCCGGGCGGGGGCGGAGCCTCCCCCTGTCCCCGTCTCACCACCCCGCACTCAACCTTCGAGGACGAACACAGCAAAAAAGGGCCCCCAAAGGAACAAATAGAAAACGCGCGTTAGACAAAACCAAGAATAACAAGTAACGTGGGTCCCGTATAACAGAACTAGTTCCATAATTTCTTGTTAGTTGTCGAAATATATTAGGAGTTCGCATGTCCGCGCCTACGCAGAACACGTACCTACAGCATTCTTATGTAATAGACGAGTGATAAAAGAGTTAACGGAAATAACCGGCTTTAGTTTTTTAATAATCACTCATTACTGTTCATCAATTATTAAACATTATACGCGATATATATCGTACAAGTGTATATGTTTGCTTAATATATTAGTTTAATTAATTAGTGTTGTTTAATTAATGTATTACTTATTAATAATTGTCACAAGAACTGATACAAACTGCAGATATCATTGAAAACGTACAAGTCGTGCTAGTGTTTATTAGCTTTATCTTGAAACAATCACAAACAACGACCGGCTTTGAATACACCCGAGACGTTACAACTCATACTATATAGGCGAAAACATTTGATTTAAGAGAGTTCAAGTAGCAAAACAATAGAAGTTGCCCTTACGACAACGATCATGATAGACATTACATCACCGACCAGAAATAGCATCTCCTGAAACGGGTAACGTCCAGTGTTAGAAATGTCGCCACGCCTTTAGCCCAACACACGCTAAACACGAGAGAAAGAGACGATACTCCGTTACAGTTAAGCAGGAACTCTATTTATATGCAAATATAACCTCGGACTCGACACCTGTTTGCGTATTCTCAGCGCCGCTTTGTGGCTATAGCGTCTCCGGTATCCTTTGGATTATGGAATACCAAGTTAGCATGGCGTATAATTAAATTTATCCACATCAAAGTGTGAACCTTAGCCCATTGTTTTGAAGGAGTTTGCCGCGTTTACAAGTTATTTTTGTACGCAGTAGCAGTTAAGTAATTACTTAATTCGTTGTTCCTTTATAAATTGCTTTGTTTTGTGAATATTAATGGTTTCATTCGCGCTGGGGTTTTTTAACGCATTAATTAAAAGTTTACTAATATCGTTTAATAAATTGTATTGTCGAATATGTCGATATTGTACGATAACTTTAAGTTGATCTAGTTATAAGCAGCTTATTCCGCAAAACCGCAGATTTCAAGTGCTCATTCGTGTTTGATTAATCAATTCCCCTTGAGGTTTTTGCTGTCACTTATTTCCATTACTGTCATATTTCCTCCTCCCTGCGTGGAGTAAAGAGAAGAATAAGAGTGGGGTTAGCCCGTTCATTTATCATACTCGGACTGAGCTCGGCTGGAGACCTGAGTGTGTTTCTATGTACGTCTGTCCTTTCAGATAGCCGTCGTTTATTTTGTTTACACGTGTTTCAATATCAACGCAGGGATAGCCTAAGCTCATACAATAGAAGGAGCTTTACAATTCGATTTTTACAATGACCCTACTCAAACTTCATTAAGTTATGAGCAATAGAGTATATTTTTTTTAAATGGATACCATTATTTCAGTCTTGCAAAAAGACATGCATTCAACATACAGAGACCACAAATTCATGAGAATACATGAGTCAATCATAACCTTCAAATATCAAAGATCATTTACCCATGGGCAGACGAAAGTCATACACGAACTTCCATAAAACGTAGCAAAATCCACGCACGTTGGAATTAGTATACTAAGTACTTACTTACATTACCTACGGCGGTTCATTTATTTACTTAAATATACTGGAAATTAAAGCCTATTTTACTCAGGAACAATGTAGCATTCTATTTGTGAAAGAATATTTTAAACATAGTTGTGAGTTGATCTGTAGCAAAGATACGAAAATACTAAACTATCATATTTATAATATTAGTATAGGTTTAATATTATGATGCTCCTGAGACCTTACACATAACACTAACTCACTTACTCACATGCATCCACACACTCACTCACTCACGCTTGTGTAAACAGTTAAAGAAAAAAATGTTATGGAAGAGCTGGGAACCCTGACACAGGTTTTTTTTACTTATAAGGGTTCCCAATTCTTACACATTAAAATGGATAAAACACATTTTTATCTCTCGTTTTCTCCTAGTCCAGTTGGTTTTTGTTTATCTTTGTGGTTATCGAATCTCAATTACAACTCATCGTATAAATTTTCAGAAACTAGCGTATATGATAACAGAAAAGAGCCAATCGCACCTACTCGATTTAACCAAGTGAACAACATAAATAACACAAATGTATCTAGACGGTGAATTGTAATAAAATAATACAGCGTGAAAAATGTTGCGGGTGCGATGGCCGCGCCGTCCTTCCTTGCCCTTAGGTCGATGTTTTTGTCATACATTCGATGTATTGCTTGTATTACATTCGTTGACTTATAAGTTACTACTTCCGCTCCTGGTTTTTTTTGTGGTATGGCGATTTCATCAATTCTCATAAACACCAGAACATGTTTTTTTAAAAAAAACCACATTCACCATTTTATAAATAATTCAGTTTTGAGGAAATGTTAACAGACTATCTTTATTTAATATTAGGTAAGTATATTACTGTTCAAGTTGAACTACGGTAGGATACAATCTGTATTTTAATTCAAGTTCGTCATGGTAATTTTTTATCATTAGAAAAATGTCTTCTGAGACTAGATTCTTGAGTCACTTGGAATGTGGAAGTTGCCATCACCATTTAGGGTAAATGAATTAATGCTGCATTTTTATTATAGCTTCTATTTTAAAAACATTGTACCTACTTAGATGATAATAAAAATACCAATATTTATGCCCTTACTTACTAAATTAAAATTGGTAATCTTCATTTATTTATCTATACAGTTCATTCATTTCATTTTAGACCAGTGTAGGCCTATTGGCTTAAGCGTGTGATTCTCATCGCTTAGGTCGTTCCTTCGAATCACGGCTGTGCACCAATGGAATTTTTAAGCGCGCAATTAGAACTTTGGCAAACATCGCGAGGAAACCTTAAGCCTACAATTCTATGGATATATGTTGATCAGGCGATCACGTTCGTTCTTGTCAATAAAAAAAGTTATCTAAGAAATCTGTTTCTTCGACGCATCTGTGCAATCCGTAGTCAACACCCATTTAGTATTATTATAAAATTCATAACCTACAGATTTTTTAAACCTAGAACATTCCCTATATCAACTCTTCTGTCTTAAACAAGATTTAAAATTGATTGATCCAAAGTTTAATTATTGGATTTTTGATTAATACAGTTTAGGTATGATTTGGCAAATAAGCCGCCACCGAGTTAATGACCGACTACAACCTGTTCCGAACAATAATTGCAGTTTTTCCGATGTATTAGAAACCGGTTTCTTCAAACAGAATTAATTTTCTTATTTGATAAAGCGACGGTACGTTAAATCCTCAGGTTAAAGTGCTTTTTGCCGTCATACACACGTAATGTAATAATAAAAATTTGCACTTTGATGTCGGTAGTCAAGTCACAGAGATCGAGGGGTGGAAAATCACCCACGGCGTTCGCTTCCGTAGCATCTCTCAATTTCAAGGCGGAGGGCGGCATTAAGCTAGACTCCCAAGTTTACCGCCTTCTTCTGACCTGCAAAGTAATATCAGCAAACAGTAGAACTTATTTAACAAATAGTTAAAATTTGTTACAATGCTTCAATTCTGCTGAATCATAATTAATATTATAGTAGGTATTATAAAACCTATTGTTATATCGCTATAGGAAAATTTTAAGAGAACTATTGAAAAAGTTTCTAAACAAGAACTGTAATTCAAAAGCAACTATGTCTATAAAATTTGTATTATTACTACGCAGGTAAATGGTTTACAAAAATGTAATTAGACGTGATTTAATAAATCTAATCAACATTCGTCTTGTAAAACGCGGATTCTGCTGACAGTACAAATGACTTAACGCGTAGATATTCCTTTTCGTTTGCCTTTTAGAATATTTATGGAAGAGGGATGTAGGCGCGATTATAAAGCCGTTTCTTATCGTCAGTGGCTTACTTCACACACTCCATATGGACCTTTGCATTTTTTACGAGTTTAAGCCTTCAAAAGGAATGCCTGAAGGGGTGGATAACGGTAAATGGATTGATTTTTTTATATTTAAATTCTAATTCTAGAGGGTTACGTCTTGCGTTACGTGCCTGACACAAGGCCTCGATTTCGGGTCTAAGCAATATTCAGAGTAGAGACTTAGCGCTGATGTTCTATACATAGTTTCTGATGACTCCAGTATATCAGAAACTATGTATAGAATTTTAGTTCGCAGTATATCTCGACTCTGTATCTTACATCAAGGCAACGGTGTTCCTTTACCATCCGAGCAAATATTAGTTGTTTTATGGGACAGGAGGAAAACGAAAAGACGGGTAGGTATATTTTAACTGATATAAAGAGAACTCTATTTGGGGAAAACCGAATTGTTAGGATTTTTACAAATAATAAATATAAAAGAGTGTCTTCCATTGATTCTTCAAACCCTTTTCCAAGAGTGATGTTAATTACAACTTCACGGCAGTTCAATTTAGAGGTATCATTCTAACCGATATTCATTAGTAAGGCACTGTTAACTTCGATGGTGTGACGGTGAAGAGCTTAAAGGTGTTTTAACCGGCGTAAAACGACCACCATCGATTCTTAGCAATTATTCATTTGAAACGAATTTAAAGTTAAACCCAAACAAATCAATTGGATGTGTTCTATCATGTGTATATATAATATTGTTTTGTTTTTCTATAGCTACTTATAAGTAAGAAGTTTATACATAGGATTATTTCTAAAAGCCCCCTCAAGAATCTATTTTTTTCATGCAGACAATATGGCTTATTTAAAATAATACAATATTTATAATATATATATATACTTTTCTTATAAAGAAAAGCTTGATAAGATAAGAAAGGAACAATTCAATGTAATTATAACACTATTATTACGATTCTAGCTTATTTTTTGCCTAGTATTAAAAAATTAAAACAATATTTTCATCGATTAAGTAATGCAAATTTTCGTCAGTAAAATCATATTAGTACAATGTAAAATTGTCTGATTGGTATACTAAAGTATATATTAATCAGTGATATAGCAAAAGCAATTCAATTCACGTAGATTGTAAATTATGCTTTAAAACAGAAAAGAAAGAAAAAGTACAGTGGCCGGAAATGGATCGCTCAGATTTACCAATCAATTGCTTGCTCGTCTACCGTTCGAATAGTTCAGCATTAATTTCCTTGTACTAGTATTATTTATATAAGCTTTATCATTGATAAGCGAGTGTACCGAATTACCACTACATAGTTATATAATGTTTTGGTTCAACTTATATATGTTACAGTTAACACTAGTTTTTAGTTAAAACTCGTTTTCCCTAGTTAAAAATAGTTTTTACTAAATGCCTTTGTCAAAACTAGAAATAACAAGTGAAAACTAGAATTTACCACTGATATAATTCATTTTCTGATAAAACTAGTTATCACTCCGAGCTTTAGTTACAACTAGCACTAGAGAAACTAATTTGAATTTTGGGATTGAAAACAAGATAAAGTTTTAAAAATATTTATTAAAAAGATCTAGGGTATAGAAACATAGTACCTTACCTAGTAAAAAAAACTTACACTAAAG